GGTCACAAATGACACTGGCAACCAGGGCGGCCGCCAGGATCATGAGCAGGATGAAGATGATGAAGCGATCCCTGGCCTGTTGAACAATCCGGAGGACGAGGACGATGAACAGGAGGAGGTTGAAGAGGACCAGGACCAGGAGGAGGCCGATGCCTAGGAAGTTTTACTGACGAGACTCAGCAGCCTGTTCGTTTTGTGGGACGGGGACCCAATTCTGACGGGCAGATGATGGCATTCTGATGACTCGCTTTTGACGGGCAGCATAGTCATGATGATGTGGGTCCCCTCCCAGACAGAAGAGAGCTGCGATTTTAATGTGCTTAAAAGCAGCCTTCGACTGAACGACATCCAAGACTCCGAAGTTATGCGGCCCAACATCAGCCAGTGGCGAGAAATAAGTGCTGAGGCAATAGTAGTCACATTGCCAGAGGCTTTGGGAGGCTTGCTTGTGAGGTCGCCCCCAGGCAAGGGTGTCGACTTGGACCGAACTTCTGTCAGGTATGGACTTCATTGTCATAGCACAAAGCTGAAGGGGTGTCAGTCTGTGCCAGACTCTGTCAGTGTCTGTGACTGGAAGCCGGCTAGGGGGCACGGGTCACTCATTGCTGCCTGACCTCTCTGCACAGGCCCTTCAGCTTCGGCTTCATGAACGTCCGACCCTGAGACTGTGTTCCTCAGGCTTTGCTTTGGGGTTGGGATTGCTTTCTAGTGAATTCATAAGCCTGGGGTTGCGAAGGCTAAAGCTCCAGCCAAAGGCCCGGAAGTGTCAATCCAGAACACCTTGGAACAGAACGGGCGACCAGGGCTGCAAGCTTCTTCAGGAAATGTTCTTGAATCGTGTCGTAAATCTGCGTCGAAGTGTTGCTACTTTGAAGTCAATGCTTCACGACTCCAGCCCTGAAGTCAGAAGCTCGGCAAGCCACAAGGCGTTTTAAGTAAGTCCTTCTGCTGTTCTGTTGTCCAAGCCTGCCACGTCCTTGCCCTCCCCTGCTTGGGCTTCATCGGAGCATCCATTTATGTGTTTTGGCTTCGTGAATGCTAAGTCGGAGGTCATGCATTGGGGTTCACACTGGCAGACTTTAGAGACGAAACATTTTATTGAATTGTTATTGAAGTAACCCCCCGTAGTTGGTGCTACTGGTGTCAGTTTAATGCAAGTAGTTAATAGTGCTTTGAAGTTCGTCTGTCTTGCAGCACTGCGTGTCTTCGCGAGCGACCTGAAGCGGTAACGGCTTCCTAGGCTTTGGGGCTTCTGTTTTTATGAGGCTTCTGTGGTTTCTGGGTTTAGGTTAAGAATTTCGCAGCCTTCATGGCATCTGAGCGGTCGTCCCATACGAACACGACAGGTTTCCTTGTGGGTTCCAAGCTTGCAGGGGTGCAGGCTGTTCATTTTGAAAATGAGGTTTTGGGATTGGGGAGCATTAGTGTCCGGGCTTAGAGGCGTTTACAGTCCAGGGTTGCGAATATGGAGTTTCGACTGAGGCTATAGGGCCTGGTTACACAGCCTGACATTGAGTCATGAAGCTTTCGGGCTGCGGGTTGTTACCGAGCTGAGCGACGTTAGTGTTGTTCTTGGGGCCCGGGGTTTCAAAGACTGGTCCTGCTTGACAGCACAGAAAGCACCGTCAAAGAGATGTTAATAACAAGAACAAAATTGTCAAACATAGTTTTCGTCTTCGTGTGTGAGCGGTTTCGTGGCAAGACGAGTGGTCGTGATTATGATACGATTAGCAGCTTCACTTGAACTACCATGGTGAAGGATGAACAAGATTCTTGCTGTTACAGGTGCCCTCGTCGGGCCGGCAGCGAGGGACGAGGCGGACGTTCCGGGTGCAATCAATGATGATACGAAAGGTAATGATTCTTGGGAGGCTTTCTTACATTTGGGCCAGTGTTTCCAGGTTTGGATTCTTTCCTAGTCTCGGGACACCGGTGGTTCTTCGGATGATCGGAATGTTGTGTTGGAATTAGGTGTAACAGGTTGAGACATTGTCAGGGAGTTTGGTTTGGCAATAGGGTTAAGAATTGCCAGTTGGCACCGATTTAGGTCGTGGTTGCTTGGCATGCTGACTCAGGCTTCCCGTTCAGCTTGGCTTGCAGAGCGGGGGTCACGGTTGGACGACAACGAGCAAGACCACAGCTGTCACTACAAGTTAGTACAATAATTAATAAGGTCTTGGAGTAAACTTAGGCCCTTTCATCCTTCCCCTAGGGTAGACCGGGTTCGGAAACGGCAGCCTCAAGAAACATTTCCGCAGCCCAGAGAGTTCGTCACACTATGGGTTTGAAAACTTCAGACATTTGCCCTTTCTAAGCTTTATTATATACAGAAAGAACCCGGCAAAAACGAAGGTCAGAACTCCAGTATCTCGGGTTACAACATAAACGATTTTGGCATTGGTTACGATTCCACTTTGAATCAATGCTCTCTCAGTTCAGAGCCCTCAGGAAGCTTAACCCCAAAGCCAAGACCCTAAACCCTTTGTTGTCTGGTGTTCTCCCACTCGCGAAGTCTGTACTCCTCAAGCCCACGAAGACACAGACAGCCCGTAGGGGAGCGGCAGACTGTGCGTGCACAGAGTCTCGGCAGAAGGCTGCATTTTCGTGCAAACACTCACTCAGTCTTGATGACTCTTGCAATGAGACTCCTGGCTCGATGTCACCTTCTTCAGTTTCATTCTGCAAGAATACTCAAAAGACTAGACTCCCTACTAAATTCGGGGACTAGGTTCGGGCACAAGGGCACGATAGGAAGGTCTAGGGGCTCCGACAAGGAGGGCCCGGGGGCGTTGCCGCTTGAAATCAAAAATAAGCAGAAGCTTCAAAGCTGGATTTCAGAAAGGAGGGTGTTCCTGTAAGCAGGGTTCTCGTCTGTTGGGGTCTTAGGCTTGTGCTCCGTTCTTTTTCCGAAAGCCCAACTTTGGACCCCAAGCCCTGAACCCTTCACCTAGATCCTCAACCCGAGCCTCAAAGGCCAGACAACTGTAAACGTCAAAAAGGAGACCCCGGAGTCTTAACTCTTATAATTGAAATTTCATTAGGCTTTAAGGTTTCAGGGTATTGAGGGGTTTGGCGTAGTGGGGATTCTAGGTCCAGTATAATAGGTACATGAGCGGGCTGCGTGTGAGAAACTCAGGTCTTTTGAGAACATAGCGAGACTCAGAACTGGAACTTGCGAGGTCCCCAAGTGTAGCTGCTGCCAACTTGTTTCTGCCTTGCAATCGTCACTCAATCCCCACCTGAACCCTCAAGTTGACAGCCGAAGGCAATTAGTACCCTGATCAATAAGAATCCAAAAAGCTTCATTGACACAACCCTCCCAGAAGCCTAGCACTCTGGGCTTTGGAAAAGTGCCGCGGGGGTACCAAAAGCCAGGACGGAAGCCTGACAGGAGCTGACGTGCGGGTGTTGCTGGCAAGCCTTGACTTGTGTTCATCACAGAACCGTCAGTGTCGTCAATAATGACCCAGTTTCGTCGTGTGAAGACTCGGAGCAATTTAGGTAGGCCCCGAGTGACTATCCTGGGAGCACTGACTAGAGAATCCAGAAGCCCAAGATTAAGTCCGAAGAGCACGGTTGCGGATGTAGGGAACCTGAAATTTTATGACCTGGTGCCGTCCGAGTGACACCTCTGAGGTTCTGCATCTCTTTAAGTCGACTCACTTGTAGCTTGCGTGCGGGCATGCTAGCTGGAGATGTCTGAAACCAGCTTGGACCTTTGACTCTGGTAACTTGGGAGCCAGGTGGCATTAGTCGTTAGTGATGAATGGATTTTTCGCAGCATTCTGGTCTCATGCACATGTCCCTCCACGACATTGTTGTCCTTGCTGGACGGAGGAGATCAATTAGTCGGTTGCTCAGGGTGGAAATCTATGGCTTCAGATTAAGATTGTCGTCCCAGGGTCGGTGATGACGATCAGCCACTCGCTTATGCATAATTAGTGACAGTGTCACAACTTTCATGGCGGCTAGCACGTCGTCCGCCAGCGGTGGCCAGCCTGGTGGCGGAAGTTCGGCGTCCGACCTGAAAAGAAGCTTGAGCTGTGACTCAGCAGGAGGGAGCCCGAGGAAACACAGAAAGACTGGCGGCGACGGCAGCCCGGCAACCAGCACCACGGGGGCGGCACGGAAGCGGGAGTACTCCACTGGACCTTCGAAAGCCTGGGCCCTGCTGACACAAGGCGGACCAGCATCGACCGCGAATGAGGAGAAGCATGTGGCTGCATGCTACAGGAAGCATGGCGGTTTAGCGGCACGGTTGCAAAGGTCTTGTCAATTCTCGTTAGTCGGCTGCCGTTTTAATTCCTTCTGCACCCGTGTCGACAGTGA